AATAGTGAAGAGAAACTGAAGCTCTTATGCATGGATCGGCATCAGTCCAAATAATTTAATAAAATACATTAACTTTATACTAACACTAATGTGAAGAATTTACGCCTTATTAAGATTTAATTTAAGCAGCTTTATCGAAAGCATAACAATTAAATTTTATTTCACAGCTTATTGTAAACCGGTAAGTCTGAAAATAATTTCCCGGACGAAGTACGATAATTCTCGTATTTACAAACATATTTGCACAGTTTTACTAATACTAATATTAGAACTTTCACCTTTATTGCTACCATCTCTTCTTTTGCAAGTTTAGCCCATTTGTAATTCTAAATACAAGACGGTCGCTTCATTACTCCCAATTCCATGTGACTGGAGATGAACCTCAAAGTTGTAAAGAGAGAGTTGTCTAGCAATTAGGTCGTCTCGTCTCATCGAGAGGAACTCGGGTGCGGTTACCATAGTAACGACGAGATCGCGTGACGCTCACACGCGCTTGACCTCTTTTCCTCACTTTTCCCTATTCGCAGCGATTACAGCGCCACGAATGTTACTCTTATACAAAACTTAAAACAATGTGTTTAAAATTTTCAGGATTTTCACACTGCCAACGAAGATACACAGAATTTCTTAATGAAGAATCTGTATGTATGTAGGCATACAAATATAAAAGTTCTTAGTTCTTAGCTTTGTGAAAAACGGCGGCGCCAAGGGCCACAAAATTCTGAACATGCGTAATCCTCCACATGAACATGTGCACCTCGGAACCGCAATTTTTAATTTCAATTTTATTTATTTATTTAATATCTTACACAATGTTCACGATTTTTTAATTAATAAACGCAACAATTTGAAACAGAGAAAAGGCAACACTACTCTAAACAAACACTTTTACAGCCGGCGTTCCAGTATGTTGCCATTCAACAAAATATAAGATACTTATCTTTCAAATTTAATTAACAAACTCGGCTATTTAAAAGCCGGACAATGTGTTGCATCTGCCTGAAATAAAATACAATTTCCTTCCAGGAGTCCGCATGTCGCCCATCGGCAAGGGGTACGATATTATTTCACTTTTTAATTTAATCTATTGGTTATTGATTATCAGACGAAGCAATAAACACACAGATAAACGGAATTAACAAAAAGCAGTTCTCAGGAATATTTCTTTTAATTTTTGAATCTGACCAGTTTAAATAAAAATGTGTTTAATTCATAATATGTCAAACTAAAAACACAACTAATAATAATTTTATGAAACAATATACAGGACATTAGATCTGGATTGCGATACCGAGGGTTCAGGTTCGAATCCCGGAGGAGGCATGGATGTAAAATTTGTCTATTCCTTCGTAGGAGGTAATGGTGGGCCGCCTATTACGTGCCTCTATCATTTCTGCCTTAGGAGTGGCCAATGCCGTTATAGGAAAGTGCTCACCATTGGGGGAAGGGACTTGTGAATGGCTTCAAAAAAAATTTTTTTTTTAATTTGAGATGAATTAAATTATTGAATTTTTTATTGAAAACACTCGTAATCCCATACCCTATACCTTTGAATTTCAATATAATTAAAATCAACAATGAAAAAATATCACTTTAAAATTGGGAATATTAGAAAATTTAAAATTGTAAAAACAAACACAATATTGAAAAATAAAAGAATTTTATAATTGGTAATATTCCTAACCAGAACTAATGAAAAATTTAATCCCAATTAAACTAATTAATGTCCAACATGTAGGGGGGGAAACTGGTTTACAGCCTTCATTCATGGCATTCTGAAATGTGTAGGAGAAAGATCTGGGAACCGGGGCATAAGTTTTTAGTGTTGCCTTTGGCGTCTGTACTAAATATATATACAGACACACAAACATATGAAAGCATAATAGAAAATTCACTAGGATTTATTTATCATGAATCAGGTTTAATTAAAAATCTCTTGTTTAAAAAAAAAAAAAAAAAAAGAAAATTTTAAAGATCTCTTATTTTAAAGACCAAAGAAATTTGGACTGGTGTTTTCAACTTAATTTGTCAAAAGCTGTAATAGAAAGTAATAAGATAGACTGAGTTGTGATTAAAATCGAATGCATATTTTAGTACTGAAATTTCTTGTGAGCATAAATCTGGTGCACTAACGTCTTCAGATAAATTGAATAATTGCGAAAATTGTTATCACAGACCATAATAAAGAATTCAATAAATTTTACGTTTATTATGGAATGATATAATTGACTATGAAACAAACAAATAAATCTAAGACTATCTATTACTGAAAACTCGGGACTTAAATTTAGCTAAAGCCCGGCTTCTGTGTCCCCCTCCCCACAATTTTCGAGTAAGATAACTGCAGTAACCAAAATTATTATAATTATTTATTTATTTATTTATTTATTTATTGCATCACTGAATTTAGCAGAGAATTCCGCTGTTTTAGCGACATCTTACTTCGCAGTTACTACACTGGCATTAATGCAAGATATTAAATATACCACTTCTTTACTTTCCTTGGGAGAAGAAAAATAAGCGAAAAAAACTTGAGCTGAGGTAAGCAAACCCTATATGCTCTAATGCAATATACTTATGGCGTAATGCGATTTGAGAACCCCCCCCCCGAGTAGAAACTCGGACTATACTCATCTGATCAAGAAGGCTTTAAACATATTAGAAGTAAAAACATCGAAAAAATTTTATGTGCCCGCAAAAGTAATACTTTGTCTTTGCAATATCCTTTTTAAATTACTTGCTTTTCTTTTTATTCTCAGTGCCCCATTTTTTTACTTATAATATACTCACCTTATAATTTGATTTTAGTTCGTTTGATTTTAATGCTACTTTCTTTGATTTATTATTAATTCATTTAATTTCCATGTTTTTTTTTACTTTGATTTTTACCTACTTATCGTTAATTTGACTTAATCATTTTGTTTATCGTTTTAAATTTTATATAATTATGACCATAGAGTGTTTATTGTTTCTTCATTAATATTTTCTCTCTTCATTTTTATTCACTGCTTCAGGTGGCCTGAAGGTTCTGGGATTTATAGTTTAAGAAATTACTCCTTGTATAAAATCGTTTAAATCTAGTTATTTATTCGTATCTGCCACCCTTGATATATGGAAAAACCAGGAGTTCCCGGAATGTTTTTGGGCCAAAAATCCAAACTGACAAAATCCCATTTCAAAAGAATTCGGAATTGACTTACATTTACTTAAATAAAAGTACAATTCCATCAATTGTGCAAGGTTCGGATAACCGAACTATTTATAATATGATTCTGATGTAAAATACATTAACATTAAATTAAATATTGTAAATTTGGCATTCTCACAACGAGTGACCTACCGGACCGTATCTATAAGAACAGGTATTTACTTAGTATGAGAATTACAGGTCACATCTCGAGGAGCTCAAGATTTAATTTTCAGCTAATACAAACTGACATCCCCCGTACACTTCTTTTACTCCTGATAGCAGAGTAAAATTTACAGGACATTTTTTTTAACTAATGTTTTTTGCTTGTTTGTTTTTGATTGTGGAAATCTTTCGAGGGCTCTCAGCCTAACAGAAGAGATGGCTTCGTGAAGACATTTCTATGGGTAACTGGATCGTATGCGCATTGCACATAGGGTAAACCACAAAAATGCCCATGCAGCCGGAATGTTCACCGGAATTCCAAGCCCGGACTAAATTATCAGTGTTCAGCGACTCTACTGCCGGGCCGCTGGTGGGCAAGTATATTTAACAAGAATAAAATGTAATGAGAAACATTATATGCAAAACCTTTCAAGAAGTAACATATTTAATTTTTCTTCCGAATTTCTTTCATTGTAATTACACAATCATTACACTAATAGTTCATACAAAAACAGGCGAGAAAATACATGTTCTGTCGTCTTAGACATGCAGATATTTAACTTAGTATTAAATGTACTGCACTGTATTAAATGCAATGAAAACTAACGTAACTCGTCTTAGATTTGGGATGACCTTCCCAGGCAGTAACATTGAATCCAAAATAATAATTCCGAAGAAACCTTTTTTAAAGCTTTAAGCTTCCGACGTCGGGGTGTTTTTTTTTTTTTTTTTTTTTTGGGGGGGGGGGGAAGCATCTACAATTTCGGGTCGATGGCCTAGAAAAAGAAGGCTTCGGATGCGTCGATGCGAAGAAAACTCGATGGTCATCTCCGATAAAATAATTCTTTGGAAGGATTTTTAAAAGCTTTGTTTGGTAAAATCTCTATGCAGATTTACCTCGCGTTTCCTAGTGATCTTTTCCACGATCCGACCGTCAGTATTAAGACAATAGGCAAGGATAATAAAAGAAAAAGTTTTCTTTTTAATTTTAAAAGCTTGTGCATTAACTAACGAGTTATATTCTTACACATTAAAAACGATGATCAACGGGAAAAACCGTAAAGGAAAATACGAGAGAGAGAAAAATTTCAAGTAATTTTACTATTACTTCTTCCCCAGCCAATAAATTTAAATACATCTACTACATACTATTAGAAATATTTGTACTCAGTTCGAGGATAAAGCTGGAATAGATTTCATCATTTTAGGCATGTGAATTACGCATTGTTTTAACAGAAAACATATAATAATCGGTAAATACTGCACTGAATATTTTTCAATCAAAAAGCAGCTGTGACATATACTTAGTTGCATTTTTATGCAACTGTGAATTGCGACATGAGAAGTTTGGCTTGATTTGGTTTATTTAATTATGTCAAAGCACTCGACGGCTAACTGCCTAAAGGGAGGGATGCCTTCGTGAAACGCTCTATAACACTCTAAATCTCGCAGAGTGGGATTTGGAGGGTGACAGCAGTTTTCGCTCCGTTTCGTGTCAAACAACGCAAATTTACTGTCTTGGTAGCAGGACATGTTTTCCACTTGCAATAATAACCTTGGGGAAGGGAGTGAATTGAAGGAGCAGGATGACCCCCTGTCTTGCCATTGTCCACCCCGACTGACCAAACAAGTTTGCTAAGCCAAAGAACGCCATTTCAAGCGAGGACAGTCGTAACAATGGATACAGCTCCTTTGCCAAAAGTAAGTTCGCTTTTAAAATATATATACAATTATTTCTTAATATAAATATCTTAATTATTATAAATTATAGTTAGATTTATGTGTCAAAATTGAAGTATGTAATAAAAAGTAGTTTTAGTTTGCTCTTTTTTTTTAGGTGTCTGTAAATTTGCTTTAAGAGTGTAATGCTGTAACGTAGTTTTATTTATTACGTACTGCTAACACAATGAAAGCTGTACGTATGGATGGTACTTTTTGTAAATAATTCTTAACATTATTTTTATTTTTGAACAATTTACACAAAGCTATCGAATTTAATTATTTAAATTTAGTTTTGCATGCATTCCTATTTCAAATAGGAAGAACAGCGGTGGGAAAAAAAAAATGCATACTAAAGTTTTGATTTTTTTTATAACATAAAGTGTGTAAATTATTTGGTAGTATTGGAAGAAATAAAAACCGTATACTTTACTGAATTTCCTATTGAAGTCATATCGTTTTCAGCTTCTAGTAGTTTTTAATAGATTTTTAACTTTCATTTTTTATAAATTCTGCTTATAGTTTGTGACAATAAAATTCACTTACTGTTGCAAAGCTGAATTTTTCCAAATATAAAATACTAGCACTACCTGGGTCATATCAGCATTCTAAAACTTATATTTTTGCAAATATGTTGTTATTCTCGAGAGTGTAGGTGTAGCTAAGGCCTCTTGAACATTCAAAAGTCCGGGAGGCCAATAAAGCTGCTAAGACGGCTTTCCGTTTACGATTTAAAAAAAATCTTGCATTCTTTAAAAAAGACTTAAAGCTTCAGATTTTAAATTATGTCCAAAGGGGCGTTTTTTTAACATTTTGTGTGTTACCTTTATTTATTAAATATCATGTTCTTCGCACTTAAACCATAAAAACATTCAACAGCAATATCGCAAAATAATTTTAAAATGAATTATTTTAAATCATTATCCAAGGGTAAGTATCCAAGTAAATCATTTTAAATGATATCTTTAGAATTTCCAATACAGAGTCTCGCGAGCTGGAGATATATATATATATATATATATTTTTTTTACTCGTACAGTCTTGCCATTGCTCGCTTTGAAATCGTTTACTTTGTTAATCAAAAATTCGTTGAAGTATTACAAAATATTAAATAATAAAGCAAATAATAAAACCAATTTCAAATTCAAATTAGGGCTTCCACATGCCCATATTCTATGGAAGATTACCTTATTCAAAATTTGATGGCTCTAGGTACCGTTGTTTTATTACAATGCGAGAAACATACATACATTCATGCAGATTCTTCATTATTTAATTTCTTTAAATATAATGTTTGGTGGCAGCAATTTGAAATGAAACATATCGGGAATCGGTGCAAAATGCCAAAACGAAATTAACAGTCCTTCTGGGAGAAATTGTCAAATTTATCTGTCCGTTGTCTTTCTTTTAAACTGTAGCACAATAAAATACTTTTTTTTCAGGAGGCATTACATGATAGTTCAAAATTATCAGATTTTTATAACTGCAAGAAGTTCCCGAAGATGCTGTTAATGTCCTAAAAGGTAATTTTATTTTCTACTCTGTTTTAAATTAAAAACTATACCTAGTCCGGATTTTTGAAAATTCCAGATATTCAGTTGACTTTATATGCTATATACATGTATTTATTTTATGCTAAATATGTATTTACTGACAAATATACGTATATGCCAATATATAATATGTACACCAAATGTTTATTTCTTTTAATGCAAATAAGAAAATTAAAAAAACAGTATTTATTTTTAAAAAATGTAAGGCATGTTTTTTTCAGACTTAATTAAATAGTAAAATTCGTACATGTCTAAACATTTTTATTTCAACTGAAACAAAACGACTTTTTTATATGTAAGCCATAAAACCTAAATGTTTGATGCATTTTTATTTTATAATATGAAAATTAAGCAATATTGCCTTATATTTGTGGCAGCGCCTATCATATTTAAAAAATTAACTTATTTTATTAACAGATAATAGAATGGACAATTAAAAAACAGCTTCCCCTCCCTTCTATTGCGGGAGAAAACCTAATTCGACGGGTTATTTTTATTTATTTATTTCCCCCTTCTAAGAAAACTTGTCAGGCATACTTTCAAAATTGTCGAAATATATACTAATTTAAACATGATAATTCTAAAATGATTCATAGATTAATTCATATACATCAATTCAATAGTTAGAAAGTTAAACTAATGACATTTACTTATTACTTTTCAAGATTATTGCCTTTTCATTTCAATTAGTTATTATATCTTCTCCTAGTGATATTAAAATGAGTGAGAGGATCTGATGAAGTTAATGTTCAAAATAATATAATTGTTTACATTAGCAAAAGCTATTGTTGTATCAAACAAGTCTTGTAAACCTTTTCTTATCCACAGTCCTTTAAAGTAGGAAAAAAATGTAAGTAACCAGATCTTTATAAACTCATATGAATTCATTTAAAGACCCAGGTAACACAGCTTGTTTACATTTTCAATAACTAAGTTATGCGAACACTGTTAGAGGTGTAGCCAGAGTTCTTGCTGCTTCGCTCAGTGCACAATAAAAAGTCTATAAAATGTCAAAATGATATATATAAAAACAAAATATCTGGGTTTATTTTTGAAATAAAACATTAATTCTAATACCGTAAAGTACTATTTTGTTTGTTTTCCTATACACAAAATCATTGATAGTATTCTAAAAGTTTGATTTACTACTCTATCAGCTGATTTGTAGACAGTATGGTACAATTTCTCAGTCTTAGGTGTTTTTTAATCCATTTGTACTTTGCAAAATTCTTCTCGCAACAGTCATGAAAAAATTTTACAGATGTATATCAGTATTTGGAACTGCATTCTGAAATTTTATGAACTGCAGAAGTTCAAGTGCACATCCTTCCACCTGCCTTCGAAAACACTACCGCAAAGAATCCAGTAAATGTAATCGCTGCAAAAGCACAAAGCTGGTAGAATTCTCTTGCGGCCTCCTCGCTTTCTTTCGCTGCTGTTCAAAATTTATTTGCATGTGTCATTTTTTTTTCAATTTATTATTATTTTGTCTGATTTCCGTGCTATGTTTCCTAAAAGTGATTTTAAAGTGTTTGCAAAGAAAATTTACAAAACTGCATACTCGAGTACTTGTCTCGGCATGAAATTAAGCATAATGGTTGAGATACAGTCAAGGAAATATTAAATTGCGTTTAAAGAATGTTTCCTTCTAAGATAATATGTTGCCAAAAATTTTCTTAACGGAACAGTTTTTGGGACAATTTTGAGAAAATGGGGGAAGGCCAAATTGATTTCAGTAACTAATATTTACTTTATGTAAATTTTACTTACGTATGCTTAATATTATATTTCTTGCTGCTCATTCAGAGTCGTAGCTAGGGTTTTCAGCGCCCAGGGACAACTGAAGATTTCGCGCCCCCTACTGCTTGCCAAGGATGGAAAACATTTAATTCTAAAATGCCGTAACATCAGTTTGGCGCCCCTTGGATTCTGCGCCCGGGGACAGATGCCCCTTGCCCCCCTCTAGCTACGCCCCTGCGCTCATTTTAATTTATATGCCCTAAATACCATGTTTAACAGGCTGTTTACTTACAAATGCTTAATATCATGCTTTTTCTCCGAACATTAATGCACATCCGCTAAATATTACCCACCAGCGGCAAAGTCGCTGAGCACTGGTAGTTCGGTCCAGAGTTTGAATCGCATGAAGGAGCTGGCTGCATGGACTTTTTTTGTGGTTTTCTCCATGTGTAACGTGTATACGAACCAGTTTGCCTTACAAAGACCTCCACGGAGGCATCCTTCCCATTAGGCAGATTTTTGATGGCATGTCAGCAACTAAAGGACAAATAAAGGCTTTGAAAAGCTGTCAGAATTTTATCGAACCTGTCGAAATTATGCTTGGCAGTAGATTGGATCAAGCTCTGAATACAAAAACAGGTCAATTTGAAACCAAAATTGTAAAAGAAACATTTCAGTATGTTTCAGTCATAAAAACAATTGAAATGGTTTTGTCTAATAGCCATGTAAGAAATTGTATCGAAACTGAAACAATTTCTAATGATAGACATTTAAAAAACAGTTTTCATCTTTTTATGTCCCAAGAATTTTGAAATATGTGGAAACAAAACGCCCTGATCTTCTGGTACCAAGTATTGCTGATTTCAGTGGTAAAAATCTTTAAAAATTTAACTAGGATTATAAATGATAGAATTTAATTAGGATTATAAATGATAGAATACTTTAAAACTTTTCTTTGTTTACTGTTTTAATTACCTAGAGTAAAGTAATTTTGCATCTATTACTCACATTGGTCTTTATTCTTAAATGGCTTATAGTTCTTTTCTTCTGGCTCGTAAAGGTAAGCTGTAAATGCATGTGCCTCTAGTGCCAAAGGCCTTTTTAATGATATTTTTGTAATCATTATGTAATAAACATGTGTATTATATATATATATATGTATAGATGACCTAAAAGCATTAGTTTTGCTCACAGAACTTTTGCTCAGCTAAAATTATTGGAAAGAAAGAGGGAAAAAGGTTTTATTCATTATTAATGAGTAAATATTTGGCATAAGTCTATGCATAAAAAATAATTTCATATGCTTAGCTATAAAATTCTTTTCATAGGATAATATTTTTAGTTTGCAGTGTATGTATATGTAAATAAGCTATTGATACTATATGTAAGTGAGTTGAGCTGCATATCCTTTGAAATTTGCTACATATTCTATCTTGAAAGGTTCATGTGTGATATTTATATAGTTTCAATTAATTATTACATTTCACATGCAATTTTTATCCAGTATATGTCTTTTATATATACTTTTATTTTTATTTTTGTAGGGTAAAGGCAAAGCAAGTATTTTAGCATCAGGCTGTTATTTGAAAAAAAAAAAAAAAAAAAAAAAAAATCCAAATTCTGCACTTCTAATATTTGCTAAATGTAAGTATTGAGGAATTTTGATATGCTTTGCACTAACTTTCATTTTAAGAGGGCAGATTATATTAAAATGAGCCATTTTACAACAGTGAATGTATTTGGCCTCATGTGGCTAAAATTCATCTTCTCAGGCTGCTTTCGACTATTGTACCCACAGATGATGCATGGTCATTTAGCTAATTTCTGTAGAATTGGAATTGCATTGATTTGAATGTCACCTACATACTAGCAAATATTTCGAGAGAATAAGATGGTTTGTAATATGTGTGATGCCTTTATATGATCTAAATCTAAAGCATGACACTAATCATATATATGCATGTATATACAGTGAACATAGATTTTAGATTTTTTTTTTTTTTTTTAAACTTGTAAAGTGATGGAAAAATTGCTTCAAGGTGAAATTCAAAAGATACACTTCCAGCCAGACTATAGCGATCATGAAATCAAGAACAAACATCTTTACAATAACAATAGTTTTTATATATTATGAAGGGATGATACTTGTTTTCATAAGGAAAAGACAGACTAATTCTCCATATAGTTTGTTCTTTTTACATTTTTATGTACATTATTTATTACATTTTTCATTAAGAAGCAACGCACAAATAGCAGTATGCATTACTATCCTATTCTATATTTGCATCAATATAATATTTACATATTCCTATATGTATTTATACTGCATTTTTACAGAAACTAAAAGCAAAAGACCTCTATGTGAATAAAATTACTAGGAATTACTTATTTTTGAAAGAAGAAAAAATTTTCTGGCGATATTTTTTAATTGGAAAGATAAACTTTCTAGTATGGCTCATTGGTATTTGACTTGTCCTAATAGATAGGTAATGGATGTATTCTTAATAAAGAAATTTATTTTCAGGGAATAGAAGACATGGAATCTCTTGGACCAGCTCAGAATAAACAGCCCATTATAGTGTGTATTACAAGTTCATTCTATATTAAAGCAGTAAATCACTTAATAGCATGCCCAAATCATGCCATGAAGGCATTTGACATTCTATTTAAAACTAATTTTGTATTTAGCGTTCAATATGCACATACATCAACAAATTTTTATAATTTTGTGGCAAGCCTTTTGTATAATGTCAGCACTCCTAGAGCTTGTGTGGACTCTTTAAATACATGTTTTGAGTATGAATTTATTGCATTCTGTACATGCATTACATTTCATATTTTTAATGTCATTTTATTGTCATATTTTCCATTTTTATATATGTATATATATGTACATATATTTCCTAATAAAGAGTTTTTCATGCATTGCTTGTTTTCACTTATATTTAAAATACTTCGTTCATTGAAATTAATATAATTCTGCAGTTATGGTAATGATTCCTATTCGGATTTAGTCAACAAATGAAATACATAATAATTTTCAGCAGAATTATGAAAAATGAATTTTTAGCTTACACATGTGAGCTATAATCCATATTATTTCACTTTAAAATTTACTTTATTTTTCCCAAATGAGACTTGGAATTAGCATATATAAAAATAAGTTATAGTCTAAAAGTATATGTAAGCATTTATTCACCTGTAATGATTAATGTATAGGAATTTGTATGCATATAACTTCTCAAAAATAGAAAGCGTAACAAGCTAACTGAAGATTTTAGACTTTATTCATAATTTGGGGTAATAATTAATTTTAAGCTCTTCATAATTATGTAATAAGAAATAGAAACATTTCTTTTGCAATATTTTTGTGCAATATATGAAGCTAAAAACAATAGCATGAGAGTATTTTATGGTTACTTATTTTCTGAATCTCATACATTGAAAATAAAGCTGAATAGTTTTCATGTAAGGGAAATTAAATTCGCATTTGTTTCTTACTTCAATGTATATTAAAATTTATTATTCGATTTTTTATGCATATTATGCTCAAGTAGTAGAAAAAACTACTAGTAACATCAATTCACAAATTGTATTAATATATTCACTTATAAGTAGCATTTTAAGAAGTTAAATCTATCAGATTATGATACAGGTTTACTGACACATATATATATATGATCAGCTGTTCTAACACATTCAAATTTTCATTATAAAATTTGTCAAGAACTATTTTTAATAAATTACTTTTCCAACTAGTATGATTATTTAATGGAAAATTTAGCTTACAATTTACATGATTACGTGCCCAAATCTTGTGAATAAGCATAATTTGCTTTTTTAAATTAAAATATGTATACAAAATTTAGAATGTATATCACTATATATATATATATATATATATATATATATATGATTCATCTAAAATGATTTTTTTTTAATTTCTTTTATGAAACTAAGCATTTTTTGATTTCTCAAATCAAATTTTGAAAATATCTGAAATATTTATTCAAAGTTTTAAGTACCTGAAAAACCTTATTTTTTATTCAAAAACCAAGTTTTTCATTGCGAATATCTTGCTATTCCAGTTTTTATATATAAGTTGTATTGACGTTCTTTATTTTTATTGCTTACTACACATAAAGGCAAAAGCCATGTTTCTGTAAAATAAAATATATTCTGTGAGTTCAAAGTAATTTCACATCAGAAGTACTGTGAGGAAAGTGATAGTGTTAAGTATTTCAGAATGTTAACTACACCGAATTTCCAATATTTTAATATGGATGTAATTTTTTTATATGTATATTTCGTTAGATTTGGAAAGAAAAACTATATGTCTAAACAATGAAGATATGATTGTCTGTAAACTGTGTTTTTTTTTATTTCAGTGATGGTCTACTTTGATTCATAATCCAGTTTTTATATATAAGTTGCATTGACGTTCTTATTTTTATTGCTTACTACACATAAAGGCAAAAGCCATGTTTCTGTAAAATAAATATATTCTGTGAGAAAGTGATAGTGTTAAGTATTTCAGAATGTTAACTACACCGAATTTCCAATATTTTAATATGGATGTAATTTTTTTATATGTATATTTCGTTAGATCTGGAAAGAAATCTCATCACCAATAAATGTTTAAGTAAGTACATAGGTAGCAAATCTAAAACAGATGTATATATCAGATAATTAAAATCACAATAGCATGTTAAAAAGTAGTGTAAAATATTTTTTTCAAGAGATAATATTAACCAGATATCTAAAACAATACATCAGCTATAAAGTTTACATAGCAAATACCAATTTTTCAGTTTGCCTATAAAATAATTATATAAAAATCGCATCATCAAGGAGTGAGCAGACTATTATTATAACTCCTTGTAATGTGTGTGGTTTCACCCGAATATCGGGCGATATTTGACTATCAAAGAAGAGCGAACGAAGGAAGAGTCACTCCTGTTTTTGTGTGAAAAGGAACCGCTTTTTACTAGAGTGAAATATCGCTCCTTCGAGGTTGGTGCCATTTTGGCATTAGAGGGAGGTGGGATATCACTCCTTTAGAGTCGGATAGGACTCTTTCGAATTTAGAGTGAAGGTAAATTGGTTCGTATACACGTTATACATAGGTAAAACAACCATAAAATACAAATGCAGTCGACCCGTTTGCGGGATTCGAACCTCAGACCGGACGCGTAATGGCAAACCGCACATTGAGTTCATCAATGTTAATGAATTCCGCTGACTGCGCGTGTTCAATGGTGTATCGTTGGCGTGGGAGGAAATATTGGAGACTAAGGGGGGCATAAGGAACCCTACAATAAGCTTGTTAGTCATGTTGGTTTTACTGTTTTACAGTTGGAATACTACGGAAATTTGTTTATGCTTATTGCATGTGCTTCTGTTTCATTTCATTTTGGTTATTTTTGTTCATAAACATTACATTTAATATAGATTATTTGGAAATAGGGTCAGTTTGAATGCCTAGCAGGCATCAGACCATATACTTGAGCTGTTTTATATGTATGGATTGTTTATTCCAATAAAGCCCACTTATTTTAGATTAATTCAGTAATTTAAACTGGATTTATGCTTCAATTTGCTAAAGTAAATACGAATGGAACGTATGGTAAATACTCAATTATTCCTCAGAAGTATAATTAATAAGCATTCAGCTAATATATCTTGTAATGATTTTCCTGCTTTGTAATCCTTCTTAAACCAAAATTTGCGTAGTTTACAATCGATAGTTACACTTTAAGTAATGAAGCAACTTACAACCTGACAAGTTTTAAAACCCCGAAATGTTTACGCCCAGATAACACAATATCAACCGTATGCCGTATTTATCTTCTTTTAAAATTGAGCCACAGTTGTAATTGCGCCAACTTCTATCCTGGGCATGCGCAGTAAACGAAATTCGTTTAACATTAATTAACTCAATGTGCGGTTTGCCATTACGCAGACTGGACTACAAGTATTCAGCGACTTTGCCGTTCGTCAGCTGGCGGGTGCAACATGAGAAATACGCTGCTAGTTTAAATTTTAAGCGCAATTTTTACATCAGAGCAGAGCAAAAATTATTTACTATATAAAAACAGAACTTAAATGTTTTGAAGATGTTTTCGCCTACATTTTAGAGATATTTTCCGCTCACAATCTTACTTTTCTAATTCTATTATTGGTTCCTTACGAAGTAATTTTAAATGGCAGGGTAGCCAGCTTATTTGCTGCAGGCATAATCATTATATATAACAACTTATCCAAGAACTACCTATATTCCAGAAATTGAATACATTCACGTCACCTACAGATAAAGCATTAAGAATCGTAGAGGTGATGTGAAATATGGTTAAATAGACATTTAAAAAAACATTAAATGATGAAAATTTTTATGCTGTTGTGATATATGCTTGTTGATTTTTAAGTAATAACAATATTTTTTATCAATAACACGCCTGTCACCAAGGTAATATTAATTTATTTGAGTCATAGAATAACAAAATCAGAAAATATAGACAAGCTCTACATGACCAAAATTATATTCGATTGCATTATTCAGGTATCTTAGAGTTCTTAGAGAAAGCTTTTCTTTTGACACAGAAGAAAAGGGTCTTTCAGTTGATGAATTTACTTTAAAATCGCTACATCATCAACAACAAAATCAGCAATAAGCTATGACTACCCCATATTAATATTTTAATGACTAAAATAAAAAAAAAGGTTCATACTACTAAGCACTGCGTTTATTTAGTCGATGTTACTTAAATGCGATAGCAGATACAAGCAGTAGAAAATAGTACTTCAGATCATTTTAATTGTGCTTGCAATGAAACGAAAAATATAAGAAGAAAGAAAGAGAGGAAAGGCGCGTGACAACAAAAACACGGGCGTTGCACAGAGGTCATCGTCTTAGATATAATGGTGTTGGTAGAGCCACGTTCTTACTGTTGTTGGAACAGAAAGAGAACATTAGAGAAAAAAGCTGGATTATTATTGCGAAGGATTTGTGTACATTTTTAACTGAATAAAAAAATAAAAATGCTCTTTGACTGTTTGTGCTTCTGTCTGTAAATCTCTCAAATGGGAAAAATAGAGCTTTTCAGAACTGTTGTCAAACTAAAATACGAGACAATGGGCCATTCGTCAGATCTCGTGAGTCGCCAGCCAACCGTACCCCAACGTCAAGGGTGTGCACTAGCTCGCAAATCATGGCGAATTTCGTAGAAAACAGTTTTATTTCAACTCCACTCGAAGAGAACGACAGAAAAGCAACGAAGCTCAAAACATATCTCAAAAATTTAATTGGGGGGGGGGAAGAGCGTCTTCCGTTTAATTCAAAGGAAAGCCATTATGTAAATAATGATCATCTGAATATTCAATTCACTTTTCAATCCAAAGAATGTCTATTTGGGACAGGCAGATCTTATTTTTTTACATGAAAAAAATACGGAGGATATTCGCATGTGCACTAAAATGTGTAATAATTCCATTTCATAAACTAAGCTTGTTGCTGGTTTTAATTGCACTTGCACCAAACGTGGCAAACTTCTATTAAATAAAAATCTGATGTGGACACTGCATGACTTTCTTGCACGACCTATTAAATTACACACATTTTTTGCTGCGTTTCATTTAAACACTTATTTCCTGTAATTAGTCTAACTTAATTAAACTAATCCCTCAAAGCAAGTTGAAAATGACATCAAAAATACAATGCTGTTCTTTGCAAATGTTCTATGCCAACAAATTTAATCGTACGTGTATCAGTCCAATGTCATTTATGGTTTGTCAGTGCGCTGATCGATTCGAAGATCAAAATTTTGTGTTACCATTAAAACAATTTCATTTTTTTTTTTCACTGTAATCGCAACTGTGACAGTGTTGTTTGAAACCATCACAATCTCG